TCCTTGAGCTGTGTAGTTTTCTAGGCCATTCCAGAGGGCAGTTGAGTCAGCCACATTGCTGTGGGTCTGGAGTCACATGTAGGCCAGACCAGGTAAGGATGGCAGATTTCCTCCCCTAAAGGACATAAACGAACCTGATGGCTTTTTATGAGAGTCAGCATTGGCTAATGGTCACCATCAGGCTGGCTTTGTTTTTCAGATTTTTAACCATGTCCCTGGAATTTTTATCTGGGATCCTGGATTATTAGTCCTGTGACATAACACTAAGGCACCGCCTCTCTATGAATTGGAAGACAGAAAGAGAATTGATCTAAACATGCAATGGTTCAAGAAGGCAACTCATTGTCTTTTCAAAACTAATTAAGAGATTGGGAATGGCTGTCCTGTACGTGATTTATTGCTCATCTCTTAATTAGCTTTGAAAAGACAATGTGTTGCCTTCTTGAACACAAATTTTTTTTTTAAATGATCTGACCGTTAACATTAGCTGAGCCTCCCTCTGCTTAGTTACCATGCTTCATCACCTGCTGTGAAGCTAATAGAAGTCTATGTACTGGTTCTGATCCCCAGTAAAATTAGGTTCAACCAGTTGCTCTCTGTCATGGTTATCAAGTCCCCATCAAATCTGCTGATGCCTATCTGAACTTTACTTGGAGAAGTATTCCCAGAACACTTATGAACACCAACACCCTTGCTATCTGTGTTTGCCATTATGGCATGACAACCTTTACCATGAATATATAGGCTCGATTGAATATGATATATGCTGATTAAACCAATCTCAGACACAGAGGACGATTTTAGACTGTTGCCAAACCCCTCTGAGATCTTCCCTCAGCTTTGATAGCCAATGATGCAAAGACTGAAGGAACAGCAATGAGGCCATATGACTTTCGTACACACAGTAAATCTGAAGTGGACTTCATCTTGAATTCTCTTTATTAAGTTATTGTGGAAAGAGTGTTGTTCTGAACTTCTTATTTCTTTAGTTTTCTAATTTACTACTATGATTTTGCATTTATTTTTCTATTTTTTTCCTACAAATTTGTAGTCAAGAATCTGTACCTAGGTACCTTTGTAACTAAGATAGCACTATCAGTGGCAACGTGTAAACTTTTTAACATCGAGCAGAAGCAATTGATTTCAGACGAGGGTGTGAAATTGTAACTTGTTTGGTTGCATTTAATTGATATCTGCGCATATGTATATTAAACAGGGCTACCAGCAGAAGCTGTGTCGGATGTATTTCAGCTAAAATTAAACTGGCAACAATTTTAAACGTTTGTAACGAGTGACCATTCTCTGGCAATTTGTGGTTGACTATACAGTGACCATCATTGAACAGTTCTGCCAAAAACTGAACATTTTCTTTTGATATGCAGCATATCACTTTGGTCTTACAGAAGGGGGAAAAAGTCCGAATGCTTAGAAACATAGAAGATAGGAGCAAGAGGAGGCCATTCAGCCCTTTGAGCCTGCTCCACCATTCATCACGATCATGGTTGATCGTCCAACTCAATAGCCTAATCCTGCTTTCTCCCCATAACCTTTGATCCCATTCGCACCAAGTGCTATATCCAGTTGCCTCTTGAATAAATTCAATGTTTTGGTATCAACTACTTCCTGTGGTAGTGGATTCCACAGGGTCACCACTCTTTGGGTGAAGAAATGTCTCTTCATCTCCGTCCTAAATCTTCTACCCCGAATCCTCAGACTGTGACCCCTGGTTCTGAGACACACCCACCATCGGGAACATGCTCCCTGCATCTACCCTGTCCAGTTCTGTTAGAATTTTATAAGTTTCTATGAGATGCCCGCCTCTTTCGTCTGAACTGCAGTGAAAACAATCCTAAACTAGTCAATCTCTCCTCATACGTCAGACCCACCATCCCCAGAATCAGCCTGGTAAGCCTTTGCTGCACTCCCTCAAGAGCAAGAGCATCCTTCCTCCGAAAAGGAGACCAAAACTGCACAGAATTCTAGGTGTGATCTCACCAAGGCCCTGTACAACTGCAACAACACATCCCTGCTCCTGTGCTCAAAACCTCTTACAATCTTGATTGGCTGTCAATGAATAGAATTTCAAGGTTTCCACAGCTAATGCAGAGGTCAATATATCGGCACCATCCCATAATATTCGACATTTTACTTCAGTTTTTCCACACTGCAAATCTCCTGTGGAAAATATACATTGACTAGGTAGCGGCTGATTCACATCAAAGCTGCTTAGGTTACATCTAACAGGCAGTTTGTGAATGCCACCGTCAGATGGCCTGAAGAGTTCACCTGTCAATTGCTGGACACAAGGAATGCAGAGAAAGCTTGCAGTTACCTAGCAAACTAAAGTCAGTACATTTGGATCATAGATAGTAGGAACTGCAGATGCTGGAGAATCCGAGACAACAAGGTGCAGAGCTGAATGAACACAGCAGGCCAAGGGTCTAGGCCCAAAACGTCAGCCTTTCTGCTCCTATGATGCTGCTTGGCCTGCTGTGTTCATCCAGCTCTGCACCTTGTTGTCTCAGTACATTTGGAGGTGGGTACTTAGTTACGTAACTGATAGGAAACTCGGTACAAAACAGAGAATGGAGAACAGGGATTAAAGGAAATCAGAGTGGCAAAAGATAGAAAGTAGTGCTCCACAGGTAACACTGCTGGGTACTCAAATGTTGACGATTTACATAAGGACTTGGACCAGAAATCACAAGCACAATTTCAAAATTTGACGATGATATTAAATTGCAGGGGTGCAGCTGAAAATACATTAATACACAATGCAAAAAAAAATCAGAATCGAAAGGGTCTAACCACCAGGAAGAATTGTACAGGCTGGTCTCTTTACTCTCGGAAATAATGAAGGGCGACTTACAGGTATTAAAATATTTAATGTGGGAGTCATAGAAAGAATGCTTCTCATTGCAAAAACAGCAGACTGAGTACCATAAACAAAAGACAGGAAAGTCAAGAGAAATCCCATCAACCAGGGTTGTTAGACTTTGTTACCATGTGGCAGTTGAGGCAAATGACATAAAGGGAAAGCTAGATGAATAGAAAAAGAACAGTTGATAGGGTTCAAGGTAGGAATGGGAGACGGCTCAGGTAGGGAATAAACACCAGCTTATATATGAGAATAGTCTGTTTCTGTGCTATAAATACTCTCTAAAATGTCTCAATTCAGTGATCCACATATAATGCTATTTTCAAACAGTGATTTATATAGCCACTCAGTAGAGCATTGATTTGTGACATATTCGCTCCAAATTCTGTTGAAAACAATGTTTTTCCAAGGAACACTGAGTAGGTAATAGCAGCAGCAAATAGTTACACAAAGGGGCAACAGGAGTTAATCTGTAACTTGCTTGATTTACAATCATAGTCAATTGTGGACACAAGTAACAAAAATATGAGCAGATAAAAGCTCTGCCCGATAGTTTCTCTAGACTTCCGAAGGGTTTGCAAAACCTGACATAATTAATTAAAATTTAGAAATAACTAACTGTTATGTAAGGACACCATATAATACTATATTTAGTCAATTGATTTGGTTATGGATTATTTCTGGCATGACTTAGGGTAATAATGATAGCTGTTTCATAGTTGGCGTAAAAAGTAAGTACTTCATACTTTTAATACATTTCCTGATTTAGGCATAATATGGACATAGTGGGGTTAAACTTTCAAGGGCTAAGCAACATGGTGCAACTTACTGGAAAAAACAGCATTGCAACACAGTGCAACAGTATTATAAAAATAATTGCACAACGTGACAGAGCTTAATTGAAATCTGTGTGCTTTAACAGGGTGAAACCACAGGAATTGTTGACAATAGCCATTTTGAATATTTGAACATAGTGGTTGCTGGGAGCACAAGAACACAAAATCAGTCGTACATGGGAGCAAGACAACAATGAAATAAGATTTCCCGTACTCAGAATAGTTGGCAGCCTCAACATTTATCTGGGAACAGTGATAGCTGGTTTGTTCACTACACTTAATAGAATGACGTAGGTATTAGCATCCTTGCTTCTACATTCTTAATCACGATTGAAATCAGTTCCACAGTGCATCACCATCGGCAGTATTATGATTCAGCAGAATATTAACATGGAACCAGTAAAAGACTCAAAGGTGCTTATTTAGGAGCACTCAAAGTGACATGACTAACATTCTTCCTTCAAGGATTTGTGTGTTCTTTAGAAGGCTTTACTGTGAGCAAAGTGGCGCTGTGGTTGACTATTCACGGATTTCTTTTGTAGAAGCAAAGTGCTTTGGAACATCCTGACGACACGACAAAGTGCATTCCAAATGTCCGTGGGTGCTTTCATCAATTTAGCCACTGGCTCAGTGATGTTTAATGTCGAGGATGTCATTAACTCAAAGTCATGGTGGAGACTGATTCACCATCAATTAGGAGAAAGATAATGGGGGGAAAAATAGGGACAGGAAAAGTTGTTGGGATGGGAAGACAGGAATACACATTCCAAGGTTTTTGAAGCTCAATTCAGGTGCTGATAATTTGCCCAACTCAATATTGCATCTCTTCAGAAAATTATTTAATTCTTGGATTATACTTTGCATGCTCCAGCAATCCTTTCTGTTCTTCCCCATAATCACCCCTTTGAAGAAAAAACGCTTCTGCTGATATACAATGTGTACAAAAACCCATGAAAGGTGATATGGTTTCCCTTTGCTTATTCCTATCTGGTTTTAAATAAAGCAGAGATGACAGTAAATAATTTAACAACTTTAGATAAGGTGCTTGACACAAATAATTCGAGTAGTGCATGCAATTCAAGTGAGTTTTCAAGTCTGTAGAAGCACAGGGAACGTGTGTACTGGATCGCTGCTGATTTAGATGCATTCTTTCTTGTGATGTGATAAGATAAGAGCATTTACAGTTAGTGATCCCTATACTTGGTAGCACAAGAGGTGATAAGGTCATCTGTGTCACGTAACATTCAATATGATATTCTGCGCATTTGAATGTTTGACGACTGGAGTGAAGGTGAGAAGTTTATTTGCATCAAAAAGCTCACTGAACATTTCTGATTTAAAATGCAACATGGTGGGAGCAATGTGGTAAAGTGAACCACCTCCCTAACTGGGGAGAGACACAAGCCCATAATACCCCTGTCAGTCATTGAGAAATCCAGTCATCCTTTGCACAAAGGTGCACAGGTCTGACAGTTATGCTGTTCACTCACCAGAAACAGACCATGGCAGCAAAAGTCTCAGACTTCGAACCATAATAGTGGCAAACTACAAACCTCTGTCCCTAACCATTAAACAATGATTGACAATTGACCAAAACGTTCTGTGTACCAAAGCAATAATTAAAACTGGGATCTTAATAGTCTGCCGCCCTTTAAACCTGACAGTGGAGTTGAGATTCTTCCTACTTGGCTTCAGAGAACTTCTCAGTACAATGGCCTAGTAGTTCTCGGGGACCTAGCTTGCAGACTAGCAGTGGGAATTTACCAGGCCCACGATGTGGTAAGCTTGCATGGATTTTGCTGGTTAAATACCAGTGGTACCACTGTGTGCACTTTGGTCACATATGGATCTGGACTTGAGAGCTCTAGACTTGAGCTAATGGGCTTGTGTCTCCCTAATACATTCCGTATCAACCAAATAAACACATAACTTATGTGGATGTCGAAATAGTTATCTTTGAGAACTTTAAATTGCGGTAATAATTTCCAAATGCTGGATGCACTTGCCTAATCTGTAAAAACTTGAGCATTCATTACATATTCTTTCTCCAGATAAGGGAATGGATTTTTATTGTGGGAAGTAATTTGACAAACTTCACATCACACCGTTTAACTCGACCAGGGACAGACTGCAAAAGTAAATGAAACAAAAACAGAAACTGATGACAGTTAGCACATCTGGCAGCACTGGCTGTGACTCTTCATCAGAATTGTTTTGATGAACAATCAGCGAACTCGAAACATTAACTCTGTTTTCTCCCCACAAATGCTTCCAGACCTGCTGAGTTTCTTCAGCAATTTCTGTTTTTGTTTCAGAACCTCCAGCATCTGCAGTTCTTTGTTTTATGTCATTGCAAAGTAAAGGATGGTCTCAAATTCAAATGTGCTTCGAGCAGCTGATGGATTTTTAACAGTTGGTCTCAAGTCAGTTTTTTTTGGAGAGTTGGGGTCAGGTAATGCAGTGAGGAAGAGAAATGTCTGGTCAAAACCTTTTCTTCCAAATGTTCCTGTTTATTTCTCTCTGTACAGTCCTGTAAATAGTCTAAATACACTCCTTCAGAAGTTAAAAATTTGCCACAGCTTGTAGCTTTGCCTGAATTCAGGGTCCTGCTGTAAACTCCTACTTCTGCTGGGCCCAGTGTTTGGTTATTGCTTCTCTCCTGTGCTTGTCCCAAAGCATAGAGGATGTCACTTTTCTTTCTAAGTGCAACTTCTTGACTAGGATGGGCCACGTCCTCCACTCCCGGGACCCTTAGTCCTCATGTCGTGCCACACTTTTACCAGAGGTTCTCTGTTCTTCCAAATCAGCTCATGGCCATAAAAGATATACCAACTGAAAAATGACAAAGAACGTGTGTTATTTTAATTAAGCAGCTGCCACAAACTATAACGTCACTTCAAACAATTTACTCAAGGTATCAATTCTTGGAAAGACACAGCAGTCGCACAGGCAGAAAAGGACTCTGTACAAACTAATTTCAGTTAAACTGTATTACATTTTTGTGATTAGCACAAGAAAATCTGTAATGATTCAAAAGCAAAACATGTATAACAGGAGTTATTCCAGTTATGACAAATAGTAGCTCTGGGATTAGCTGGCTAGGTCAGTGAGGCCAATAAATGAGTTCTAATCATTAATAAGCAGGAGAATAGATGCAGATCTTGAAAGGCTATGTGGCAGATTTCACTCCACACTATCCTATAAATTCCCTTTAGTTTCAAAAAATCCTATGTACTTGTAATAATACATCAGAGGCAGAATACAGTGGATATAGTATTCTTTTGAGATGGGAAAGTAGGGGGATTGAACTGTGCATTTCAAGTTATGCCATGATGTTTCACTGCAATCTTCCAGCCAAATCCAATTCAGACATGAGATGAATGATTTTGAGAGTCTCAACTTAGTTCCTACTTCCATTAAAGCCATAACACAAAACTATCCTTAATTTAGCATTAAACTAACAAGGCCATTCAGGAGTTTCAGAATGGCTAATATAGAATGGCATTATGCAATACTCATAGAATCATAGAATCCCTACAGTGTGGAAACAGGCCCTTCAGCCCAACAAGTCCACACCGACACACAGAGCATCCCACCCAGACCTATCCCCCTGATCTACACATTCCTGAAAACTACGGGCAATTTAGCATGGCCAATCCACCTAGCCTGCACATCTTTGGAATGCGGGAGGAAACCGGAGCACTCGGAGGAAACCCACGCAGACACGGGGAGAATGCGTAAACTCCACACAGACAGTCGCCCAAGGGTGGAATCAAACCTGAGTCCCTGGCGCTGTGAGGCAGCAGTGCTAACCACTGAGCCACCATGCCGCCCTAGAGAGCTTTACTGATACTGGACAATATGGTTCAGCGATAGGACATGTAAAAGAAAAGATAGCTAACCCATATCGTATTTGCATCTAACCTGTACTCTACCTCACTTGGAATACTTGATGGTGCAAGTATCATCTAAATAAACCATTTCTGGAATTACCACAAGGCTAGCATAAATCCTTCAAAATGTTGGAACAGCCTCAAAACTGAACACCGAATTCCAGAAGATGCAACCAGCACCATACACAGTTACAGGTGTCATTCTTATGTCCAAAGTGTACAACTTCACACGTTGTTGTAAATATTTTCACTTTTTGGTAAACTTAATCTATGTCATATTGCTATTGTCGTCTTAACAATTCATTATCAATTCTAGCTTAGCATAACCTACAAACTTGACTACAGTCCCCTTTATTACCGATTCCATTTCAGTTACACTAATGGCAAACATGTTGCCAACATTTGCAACATTCAATTTTCCCCAATCTTCATCCAGCTTCCTAACACCCAACAAATGTACCATTCCTGCAAACAGGTCACTTCCAATTTTGATTCACAATGTTAGTTAATGCCTTTTGAAGAGCCACAGATAGGGCTTCTATTAATTCAACTGTTAAAGAGTTCTGTTGAATTAGTGGATACGACTGACCTTTTATAAACCTATGCTGTTGTCTTAAGCACTCTTCTAATCAGCTTACCTTTTTCAATTGTTCACTTATTCCAAACATGACAGATATTTCCCATCATTACTATAGTTATCTGATTTGTCATTTCCTCCATATTTTCAACAAGTGTAACATTTTCTAACTTTCAGTTCCCTGGAGCTATCACTAATCTAGGAAGCACCAGATGATTATAATTAACATTTCCAATTTTCTTTCCTTTTTTTTGCTAAAAAAAACTTCTGTAATTGGATCCTGTTTGTTTTTAATCTTATTCTTTCATTCTGTCCAATTGCTCTGTAAGTTTTGGTCCTGGGTTAACTCTACTGCTCTCTGTACTTCTGGGATCATGAGCTCTTTGTCATACGTGAGAATCAAGTACTTTGTCTACGTCCTCATCCTGTACCATTGATGAGCGTAATTTTTTTAACATGCCTCCTTCCATATTTCTTATTCTTCTTTGAGGTACTTAATAACATCACTAACAAGTTTTTTGTCTTGAGCTACTTAACAATACCACTAACAAATCCTCTGTAAGAATATGAGATAGTAGGAACTGCAGATGCTGGAGAATCCAAGACAACAAGGTGCAGGGCTGGATGAACACAGCAGGCCAAGCAGCATCATAGGAGCAGAGAGGCTGACGTTTCGGGCCTAGACCCTTCATCAGAAAAGGGGGAGGGGAAGGGGGTTTTGAAATAAATAGGGAGAGAGTGGGAGGCGGATAGAAGAGGGATAGAGGAGAGGATAGGTGGAGAGGAAACAAACAGGTCGAAGAGGCGGGGATGGGGCCAGGAAAGGTGAGTGTAGGTAGGGAGTTAGGAAGGGGATAGGTCAGTCCAGGGAGGACGGACAGGTCAAGGGGGCGGGATGAGGTTGGTCGGTAGGAGATGGAGGTGCGGCTTGAGGTGGGAGGAGGGGATAGGTGGGAGGAAGAACAGGTTAGGGAGGCAGGGACGAGTTGGACTGGTTTTGGGATGCGGTGGGGGGAGGGGAGATTTTGAAACTTGTGAAATCCACATTGATACCATTGGGCTGCAGGGTTCCCAAGCGGAATATGAGTTGCTGTTCCTGCAACCTTCGGGTGGCATCGTTGTGGCACTGCAGGAGGCCCAGGATGGACATGTCGTCTGAGGAATGGGAGGGGGAGTTGAAATGGTTCGCGACTGGGAGGTGCAGTTGTTTGTTGCGAACCGAGCGTAGGTGTTCTGCAAAGCGGTCCCCGAGTCTCCGCTTGGTTTCCCCGATGTAGAGGAAGCCACACCGGGTACAGCGGATGCAGTATACCACATTGGCAGATGTGCAGGTGAACATCTGCTTGATGTGGAAAGTCTTCTTGGGGCCTGGGATGGGGGTGAGGGAGGAGGTATGGGGGCAGGTGTAGCACTTCCTGCGGTTGCAGGGAAAAGTGCCGGGTGTGGTGGAGCTGGAGGGGAGTGTGGAGCGGACAAGGGAGTCACGGAGAGAGTTGTCCCTCCGGAAAGCAGATAAGGGTGGGGAGGGAAAGATGTCTTTGGTGGTGGGGTCGGATTGCAGATGGCGGAAGTGTCGGAGGATGATGCGTTGGATCCGGAGGTTGGTGGGGTGGTACGTGAGGACGAGGGGGATTCTTTTTTGGTTCTTATTGCGTGGACGGGGTGTGAGGGATGAGGTGCGGGAGATGTGGGAGACACGGTTGAGGGCGTTCTCGACCACCGAGGAGGGGAAGTTACGGTCCTTGAAAAACGAGGACAACTGAGATGTACGGGAGTGGAATGCCTCATCCTGGGAGCAGATGCGGCGGAGGCGAAGGAATTGGGAATAGGGGATAGCATTTTTGCAGGAAGGTGGGTGGGAGGAGGAGTATTCTAGGTAGCTGTGGGAGTCGGTGGGCTTGAAATGAATATCGGTTTCGAGGTGGTTGCCCGATATGGAGACAGAGAGGTCCAGGAAGGGGAGAGAGGTGTTAGAGATGGTCCAGGTAAACTTAAGGTTGGGGTGGAAGGTGTTAGTGAAGTGGATG